AGATTAATATTATATATATATATATATATATATATATATATATATATATATATATATATATATATATTGATGCATGTTTCATTAAATAGTATGGACAAGTTTTATCTATTTATTTTATGTAAATTCTTTTCATATGGTCTGATAAGCTTAATCACATTATCATTAAAAGAAGAAAGAAAATCACAATATTGATACATATTTTTTAATCCTATCTAAGCTTTCGGCTTACATAAACCATTATCAAAGATGACAATTACATTGCAATATATTAACAAATACACAGACAAAACAATAATGATAGTCTGTTTATGTTTACATGGAAGATTTTCAAGCAACGACAAACTCGTGCATACAAGACGCTGGAAGCGAAAATCTCACCGAAGCTCATGACGAAACACATGACCACGCGAAAGTGAAAACGAGAAGTATTAAGTATGGGAAGCCGTTGGTATAAACCAATGGCTTCTGTTATAAATTGTTGACATTTAAGAATATTTGTGGAAATTTCATAGTATTTTTTTTTTTTTTTGTACAGGTTCGATTTCAACTGTTTTATGTATATAGCTTCAAGAATTTTTAGTTTTTCTTTATTCTTTTCATGTTTAAGGATAGTTGTGTTTTCAACAAGGATTTTGTTATCATTGAAATTTAGTGCCAAGCTATATATAATCAGACATGCCATATATATATATATATATATATATACACACACACACACACACACACACATATATATATATATATATATATATATATATATATATATATATATATATGTGTGTGTGTGTGTGTGTGTGTGTGTGTGTGTGTGTGTGTGTGTATATTTAGTACAGGTAATCGATCCGCTGATATATAATTCGGGTGGATCCTAGTAATATTAATTATTAAAATAAGATAGGTTATATATATATATATATATATATATATATATATATATATATATATATATATATATGGCATGTCTGATTGAATAAATTACAGACATTATGGGTATGAACGGATTTTTATTAAAAATTAGCAGGCATAATTTCTGTAAGTGATTCAATCAGTCATGCCTAAAATAGAATTTGCTGCCTAAATACACAAACACACACACACATATATATATATATATATATATATATATATATATATATATATATATATAATAACCCCATCCGACGAAGGAGGCGGTATAGTTAATATGAAGACCAACGTCTACATTGAAAAATCCCTCCAAAATAATCACAACACCTACACAAAAGTCAATGGACTTACCATAAACCCTGAAGCACATAGGTTCAAAAAACAATATTAAAAACTATTAAAAAATGAAATCAAATCTTGGTCTAGATTAATAGATTACCACCCCACTATAAGTACATTATATGGATCACCTAAGATCCGGAATTAAAAGTCCCCCCTTACAATTTAGCTAGAGCCATCACTAAAATCCTAACTCCGTTCCTAGGCACCATCAGTAGAAAATGAATCAAACATTCTGGTAACTTACTCCAAAGAATGCAACACATAAATATGACTAATATATATATATATATATATATATATATATATATATGGCTAATTAAGACATCAAATCGCTATACACCAATATAACCATCACCAAATTTCTGCAATATAATAAGAAATATATTTCCACCTACAAAAAGCTTCTACTATCCGGTTACTCCATACGTAACAGAAGAAATTTTTGCCATAAATATATATATATATATATATATATATATATATATAGATAGATAGATAGATAGATAGATAGATAGATAGGAGAGAGAGAGATAACTATATATAAATTCGTATATATCAAGAACAATATTTGGGTAAAAATATATGACAAAAAGTGAAAAAATGTTTTCGTGTGACGCGTTTCGCACGTTAAGAGATCATCGGAATAAATTTCTTACGTTGCTACGACTGCACACCGTCCTGGGTATGACGATAAACTACATCCGAGTCCTGGGTATGATGATTAACTACGTCCAGCAAAAAGGCCTCTGAACAGGAGGTTTTGACGAGCATGAAATCACCTCTTAATTGCTGTTGTTCCCATGTAGACCCTGACCCCGGTTGGTAGCACCTGTTAGGGTCCCAAATATGGGTAAATAGCTGAGAATTTAAAATTTAATTTTGTATATATATATATATATATATATATATATATATATATATATAAAGAAAGAACAGTAAGATATATAATCCGGTGTTCTTATAGATATTTTTATTTTTAAATAATAGCGCTCAATGTAAATTTACAGAGCATTAATATTATAAATTAATTGATTTAAAATATCTTTTTTTTCGCTACACAGTTCTAACCATGTTTCAAAAATGGAAGCTAAAAGCCCCGAATTTAATTTTGCAATTAAATTAAAGACTTTAGTTCCAATTCATAGTCAAGCGAATTTTGCAGTAACTTTTAAAATTACTGGGTTTTAAAGACACAGCTAAAATCATAATTCATGTTTCCAAGGTTACAGATGAATCCATTTTACTAGACGAGGGGTGTCTAGGTGTTCATTATGTCTATATTTTAATGTATCAGTTATTGCTACGTTTTGGTAGTGGGTAGGGATGTATTTTTCAATGAAATCTAAAATTCTTACGTCGTTTTTGTCCTCGTATATTTAAAGATTTTGGGGAGTGTTTAGGTAAGAATACTTTTTATTTAACTACGATTTGAAATATTTTTACTTTTAATTTTTAATATACTATATTTCTTTCAAGAACAATTAAATGTAATTAGAATCCCTTACAGTTTGTAGAATTATTATCACATCAAGTATATTACGAATTTTTTAAAATTTTATATTTAAATATTATTTAAGTAAGATTTTCATTTCTCTGATTTAGTAAACTTTATTTATTTATTTAATTACAATTTAAGAAGTTTAGGTTAGAATTCATTTTAATGAACTACAATTTTAATTACAACTTTAAAATATTTTCATTATTAGTTTTTATAGTCTACATATTTCATTTAATAGAAGTAAATCTATTAGAATTACTTACATTAAGTAAAATTATTTTTCTATATCAAGTATATTTATATTACGATTTTTTAAAATTTCGAATTCTGATAAATAAAACTTTTATTGTTCAACATGAAATCTATTTAATTTCGTTTACTTTGGACATCTTTTACTCGGATATTTACATTTTAAATTATGTCAATTTTGGGGGACACCCTGTATCGGATAATAATATAGATTTAATCTCTTGTGGATACTTCCTCTGCCTTCTTGCCTTCCATTAAAGTTTGATCCTTAAAATTTAAAATTTAAATGAAATTTCAATCGTTATCTTTTATCTTCTTAATACCTCCACTTTAATTGTTCTCTCTCCGTAATAATGTTTTGTCTTTCTCATATTCTCTCATATTCAGTCACCTACTTTGCGTCTTAGCGGCTTTATTGCCTTTCTTTTGGTGAAATGATTTAAAGCATGTTATATTTATACGTAAATGTGCTCGGGGAGAGGCTATATGTAAATATAACAGTGGAAATTGAGATCAACAACGAGTGGTCACAGTCTTTTTAATGAGTAAATGAAATCTTTAGGCCATGTGTTCTCTTATATATATATATATATATATATGTGTGTGTGTGTGTGTGTGTGTGTGTGTGTGTGTGGCTGGTGTTGGTTATGTGTGTGCGTATACCTTTGGCCTTAAATGTTCTCTCTTCTCTTGAACACTATATCGACATAAAGCAGATTTTAAATGACCCTTTCCCTGCATCTTTTCTTGCTAGTTCTTTTCATCTTGCTTCTTGACTTTGAAATATATATATATATATATATCGATTATAAATTAATTGATTTAAAATATGGTTATTTTTCCTACACAGTTCCAACCATGTTTTCTAAAACCCTAATTTTATTTTTCAAATAAATTAAAAGCATTAGTTCTATTTCATCTTCAAGCGAATTTTGGATAACTTTTTAAAATTTACCGGGTTTTAATATACAGCTAAAATCACGTTTAGTGCCCAAATATCCTGTCAATAACAAAATCATATAAAATCAAATAGCGGTACATAAATTTTCTTTTCCCGTCTTTCTTTCCTCTCTCTTCTCTGTCTCTTTCTCTCTGTCTTTCCAACTCTATCGTTAACACCCTATTCCATCCATACATAATACATATATATATATCTAAAAATATATATATATATATATATTCTCGTATCTTATGTATCTCTTTATCTATCATCTTTTTCTCGCTCTCCTCCAACGTGTTATCTTCGTCCGTACACGTCCCTGTACCCCACAACCTACCCACGTACACATGGCCATTCCTTGGATTCAATGTCTCTTTTCGCAACTTCGCCTCCCATCTCAGAACGGACGAGCGTTTTTCGAACTGGTTATTACCGACTGCAAAATAAAGCGTACTCCGAAATCTACAACCGTTGTATCGACGGAGGCAGCACCGCCCCGTAATTGATAACGACTCGAACATATTCATCTTTAAAAGATCTTTTCCCAGCAAACGATGAATAGCTCTTAATTATTGTGAAAAATTTCGCGCCGTTTTTCTTGTTTTTTGGGGGTTTTTTTTTAACTTTATTTTTATTCCTCATCACAGTCGCTGATCTGTTTCTTCAACTTCTCTTCGACGCACGAAAGGGTGGGGGGGTATTCTTGCTCCCCGCTTTTCTAATGTCGATGGACGTTTTATTGCTTAAAACAGTTATAATGAAAAGTTCTGGGGGTTGAACAAAAAGAAAGAAAGAAAGAAAGAAGGAAAGGAAGGAAAGAAAGAAAGAAAGAGGGAATGTTAAATGAAATTTAAGAAGAAAGAAAGAAAGAAAATGGAAATATTAAATAAAATTTAAGAAGAAAGAAAAAAGAAAAAGAAAGAAAGAAAGAAAGAAAAAGAGGAATGTTAAATGAAATTTAAGAAGAAAGAAAGAAAGAAAGAAAGAAAGAAAGAAAGAGGGAATGTTAAATGAAATTTAAGAAGAAAGAAAGAAAGAAAGAAAGAAAGAAAGAAAGAGGGAATGTTAAATGAAATTTAAGTAGAAAGAAAGAAAATGGAAATATGAAATAAAATTTAAGAAGAAAGAAAGAAAGAAAGAAGGAAAGGAAGAAAGAAAGAAAGAAAGAAAGAAAGAAAGAGGGAATGTTAAATAAAATTTAAGAAGAAAGAAAGAAACTATAGAAAAAAGAAAGAATGAGGAAATATTGAATAAAATTTAAGAAAAACAAAGAAAGAAAGAAAAAAAGAGGAAATATTAAATAAAATTTAAGAAGAAAGAAAGAGGAAATGTTAAATATAATTTAGGAAGAAAGAAAAAAAGAAAAAAAGAAAGAAAGGATGATTAACTAGGAGGTGGGGGGAACAGTACAGCCATTTGATGTTTCTTAACGAGGGAGTTACGAAGGGGAGGGGAAGGAAAACAATCGCTCCTTTATTCTCTTCTTCTTCCTCTTCGACTACACCAGAACCACCACCCAACCCTCATACCTTTCGGCGCAAAATTTTAACAAACAATTTTCGATAATGTCACCGTGTCAAAAGTTTTCTGAAAAAGTTTTCTTTTTTTCTATTTTTTTTTTCTTAATGTTGATTTTAGCGTCGCAAAGACGGTTTAGAAGTTTCAGTATTTCCTTATTTCCAATGTATGATTAGATTTTCGGAAAACTTAGGAACTTATTCGGAAATTTCACAAATTTTTGGACGACGTTTTCAAAACCTCAATGATGCTGTTGTGTCAATGCAACGCTTCTTTTGAAGACGAAAAGTAAGTTCCAAAGAAAAGAGCGGGAAAGTTGATTTTAAAAAGACGTAAAATTTTACAATTCTTACAGAAGAGACATGATATGATTTTACAAGAATGCGTATGATTGCATGCGTACATACAGTGTATATTTAACGGTGTTTGTGAGTATGCAACTTAAGAAGGATTTTATAACCTTGATAAAGTTTGGTAAATGAGCACCAAATACAAAACGAATTTTTTACTCCAAGCAGTTAATGGTTCTCTGCATCAGACTCTGTTGCAGTTTTTTTTTGTATATATATGTACTAGTGAGTTAGTCCACCAATAGAAGGTTAACCAATCAGAAGACGTAGAACATTCAATCCGTCCTGTATAAAGGCGGCCATTTTGTCTACTCTACCCGAATGTCCAGTCCAGCATGTCAGGCGAAGATAAACAGAAGGACGAACTACGCTCTGCTACTTTTTACCAAAATATCTACTGCTAACCTGAACAACGCTTTCCTACTGTCTTCGAAATATTCACTGCTAACCTCTGGATTCTATACTCGAAGACGACCGTCATGATGAACAACAGACTCGTTGCCAGTCAACCTCATTATATTGCGTCATGGTTATTTGGAGCTGGGAATAATGAAAATTATATAATTAAAACTCATATATCTGTCCCTATTTCTGAGATGAAGTATTGTAATTATTTACACTATTTACATTGTCCAGACTGTTGTCCTCATCTTTCCTGTCATATTCACGATGTTTCGGTCGTTGTGCGTTCCGGCTTTCTTCAGGTGATTGGAATTTCGAACCAAACCCTTTGTGACGTCGTCCCCCGGTCGCAGCGCCAACTGTGACGTTCTATCCTGGTCTACCACGGCGCCAGTTGTGACGTGGCCGTTCCAGGGTCCTATCCCGGTCACGACACCAGTTGTGACGTCCCTAAAGAGCACCAATTGTGACGTCTTCGCCGCGGCGCCAGCTGTTCGCTCCTCGCTGCTCCGTCCGGGTGTCGCTGCTCCAAACGTGACGTTCGCCTGTCGCGTCGGTTGTGTTGTCTCGTACTGTGACAGCCAACTGGCTTGGTATCGGTTGCGGCACCCAAATGTGACGTTCTAACCCTTTGGTGATTCGGGTGGGAATCTGGTTAGATTTGATATCAGCCTCGTCGTTCCCAACTCGCTTCCAATGCCTGGTTACCAAGGTAACTGCACTGATCTCCAGTCTGCCTACCCACGTTGTGAATTGATCTTAGACAGACGAGATCAAACAGGGGTTGGGGCCGTAATGCAAATTGAGTTCAACGGGGGTGATAACACACAAATATGCATAAAAGAAAATAAAATGAAAACTCAAAAAGTTCAAAGTATCAAAGAAAAAGGTAACAAACTTTATGTCTAGTTGTTCGATACATAGGACTGCATCTATCTCCCGACCCGTTCTATGGATTGTGACACGTCGCTTTCGCTAGGCAAGTTTTAACGCTTCAAGTTGTTTGCTCTCTAGGAAATTTGTGTTTCGGTGTGTCTTTGGACGAAAGTCGAAATACTTATTTCTGTGGTCTGGTTCTAAGTCGCTCTTCAAAATAATTGTTCTTGGTTGAAGAGGAGTCCAAAATTTTGCGTGAATCTTGGTCAGCTATCTTGGTCTATCATCTCTGCCGCCAGGGCCGAACGAATTGTCTTCTGCCCGTCAGGGTCTGAACTAACTGTCTTCTGCCCGCCAGGGTCTGAACTAACTCTCTTCTGCCCGCCAGGGTCTGAACTAATTTCTGCCTGTTGGGGCCTCGTTTTTATTGACGCCGACAAAAACCGGGTTGGGTCTGTTGGCGTCGGGGAGTTCCTCCTATAATTCTAAATACATATCCACCTCTTTTATTTCTGGTTAGGGATTTTCCACTCTTTTCCATTTTTGGTAACATTTTTTCACTCCCACTTTCTCACCATGCTTCTGAGGGGCGTGAACTGCCCTCCCCACTTCTTCCTAGCGGCTTCTCATACTTATACTCTGGATGGGGGCGTCAACAGCCTTCTTCGTGCGTCACGTGATCACTCTCGGTCAATGAGGTCTTGGTCGGGTATCTTTCCTCCTCCTTCGTGCGTCATGTGATCACCACTTGACCAATGACGTCCCAGTCAGGCGTGAACAACCCGCGGCTCTGTTTTGGAAAAGAAATACCTTGCTTAATTAAAAAAATTAATTAAATCGCCGTTATCAACTCTTTGTTCAACACGTGGCGTTTGTCAAGCAGTTTATCGTTAATTCATCAGACGGCTGGTTTTTCCGACATGGTCTCAGAAAAGAATTTTCTCCAAGTTTTCAGTCAGCTTGACGTCTCCAAGGCAGAAATAAAAACATTTCTTATTCCATTCATTTTCCTTCCTTTCATGTGTCTGATAACAAAATTTCATTATCGCAGGGAAAAAGACTGTTTTGTCGAAAAGAGCTTAACTGGCGAGACGGCTTGGGTGGGATTTTAATTTTCCATATCCAGCTAAGGCTCCAAGCTACACCTGTGTTTTGTCAATTATCAAAATCTAACGTTTTCAAGTGGACTTTCTTTGGCGAACATTTCTTGATAACACAATTCCATTCGCGCAAGCCAAGTTGGAAAATCGGTCAATGATTGCTCGCATGTGGCCTTTAATTTGCATATCTGTCCAAAAGTCTTTTTTTTTTTTTTTTGTCGCCTGTTTCTTGTCGTCACTTTATCGAAATAACATTTTCGCTGGAATTTTTTTCCTGGCCGGTGGCCTGTGTTTTGATAGTAAGATGCCTTCTCGTACCAATAGTTTAGATAACACTTCCCTACCCACTCAATCTCATTGTCATTGTAATGACACTCTTTCCGCCGTTTGCCACTCATCCAAGATAACCCTTTTTTCTTATTGCCTCTTAAGCCGTGTGTGTGTGTTCGCTTATCGCCTACGATCCGTCTCGCATTACTTTTTCCCTTCCTTTCTCCTTTTCTTTCCTTTTCCCTTTTTGCCTTTCTTTCTCTGCCTGGATGCATGGTGCCACAATTTATCTTGTCCACCAGGGTAGATTGTTCTAGTCGAAGGGCCATGCTTCTTCAGGATGACTCAGTATCAGTTATATGCCTTTAACACATCTCGCCACGTTTTTTTCTTTCTTTTTTTTTCTCCATCTCTGCTGTGGGCAGGTATAGACCTCACAACTCTTTTAGCCAAGTCACTGGACAACTTCAACCAACGTTTTATTCGCTGGGCTATGTGTTTTTGAGTGCCCCGATGGACGAAATAAAGAGTTCGGTTCGAAATACCAATCACCTGAAGAAGACCGGATAGTACAATGGCCGAAATGTCGTGAATATGACAACAAAAATGAGAACAACAGTTCGAGCAATGTAAATAATGTAAATTAGAACTCATATGACCGATCTAATGCAAAAAGAAACTGTCAAAATTCTCCTTCCTTGTACCACTTCAGTATGCATTTGACTCACCCTGCTATAGTCTGTCATTGCAAAGTCCAGATCAGTGAAAAATGGAGTATTCCTGCATATCTTGGCTGGATTTTGCCTGTTTTGATAGAGTTCAAAAGTGCAGGCTTAGGGGTGATGAATAATCTTCCAACCCACAATCTCTTTCCCCACAGACGAAAAGAGACAAGCCTCTCGTAACTCTATTGCTATTTCCATGGCAAGTGTTCTGATGAGCCCCATTCCTTAGTTTCGCCAGCCCTGACATTTGAAGCCGGGACCCACCATGACACGTACAAGGAGAGGAATGTTTCCCTTTCCATTCGTAAAAAGGGGTGTTCCCCTTAGATGGTTGCTTTGTGGAACAGACTCCTATCCCGATCACTACAATCTTAAAATCATCGTCTTGATTCTTTTCTTACAATAACCTCCGATCTTTGAGAGGCTTGGGGTGAACAGGAGTATGAAAAATGTCATATATTTCAAGGTATACTAACATTAATTAACAATCTACTTAGATAGCTAACTCGTTGACTGGCATTAGATAGATAGATAGATATAAGGAAAATGACAGACAGATCGATAGATAGATATAAGGAAAATGATAGATAGATAGATAGATAGATATGAGGAAAATCACATAGCTAACTAGATAGCTAGCTAGCTAGCTAGCTAGATAGATAGATAGATATGACGGAAATTTGGGATAAATTGCATTTCATTTATAAGACTGATTTAAACTTCCAAAAGCGTTGTTGTAGATTTGCCTATTACATGAATATAGAAGAGCATTCTTGATCATCACAGGAAGTTTGTTCTGACAACGGACTAACACCCGAATAGTATGAAACAGTGAATAATAATAATAATAATAATAACAATAATAATAATGATAATCGAATGGACGCCAACACGAGAAAGCTTCTCACTTGCCAACGCATGCATCATCCTAAGGCTGATGTTGATCGTCTCTATGTGTCCAGATCCGAAGTAGGGAAATGATTAGAACTGTCTTACAAAACTACAATTGGCCTTCAAAGATACTTGGAAACTACAAAAGACTGGATGATGATCTGTGTTAATAACATGAAAGAATCAAGAAACTATTTTCAATGATAAAAGAAGCCAACAAGTTCAAAATGGAGTTTCAAATGGGCGATTAAATGCAAGTAAAGCATAAAGTATCGACTGCGAAAACCTTTTAAAAAAAGAAAGCAAAGGCAAATGCAATCGACCAGATACCGAAATGATGGCAAGATAAACCTCTCCAGGGTCAATACTCTGCCCGTACCAAACAAGCTGATATAGACAAAAGCCGTACCCTTCAGTGGCTACGTAGTGCAGGGCTAAAAGCTGAAATCGAAGGATTTAGTCTTAATGAATAGGACCAATGCTTGCTAACTAGAAATTACCAAGCACATATACTGAAAAACTATGTTAGCCCAAAATGCAGATTCTGTGATAAATATCCTGAAACAATTGACCATCTTGTATCAGGTTGCGCGGTATTGGCACCTATTGAATATAAAACCTGGCATGACAGTGTTGGCCAATATCTGCACTGGAAAATATTAAACTTTTACGTAAAGGAAACTGCAAGAAACTGTTATGAACACCACCCAAATTGGGTTACAGAGATAGAATCTGTAACAATTTTATGGGACTTTACAATACACACAGACAAAACAATCAAAGCTAATCGCCTAGACATCTTTATTAGAGACCGCAAAGACAAAATCTGCCTCCTTATTGACATGGCATTGCCTGCAGACTGCAATGTATCTTTGAAGATTTTCAATAAACTATCAAAATATAAAAACCTCGAAATCGAAATCTCAAAAATGTGGCACATGAGGACATCAACAATTCCAGTTGTAGTTGGATTGTTTGGAAAAGATTCCAATAGACTCATTGAAGGGATTCCTGGTAGCCGATGCCTTAAAAAAATACAAAAAATTGTTCTCGCAAGTGCAGCCCACAAACGTACGAAGTGTGTGTGTGTGTGTGTGTGTGTGTGTGTGTGTGTGTGTGTGTGTGTGTGTGTTTCAAAAATGCTCACTGGAAAATGTCATTATGCCATTTCTAAGCTTAGGTTACTGGTCGGGACCCAGAAATCAAAGGAAATAAAACAAATATTAATAAACTATCAAAATAAAAGGATCTTGAAGTGGAACTATCAAAAATATGGCATATGAGGACATCTATATTAACTGTTGTCGTTGAAACCCTCGGATTGATTGGAAAAGGTTCCGATAGAATCATTGAAGGGATTCCTTGGTTGCACATGGCTTAAAGAAGTACAAAAACTTGTAGTCACAAGTACAACTCACACATTAGGAATATCTTTATCTCTGTAAAATGTGTGATCATAGTTTATATATATATATATATATATATATATATATGTGTGTGTGTGTGTGTGTGTGTGTAAGCAAATATATGGATATAGATCCGACAGTATGAAGAAAAATATACGGAAAAAACAAACAAAAATCCTAATGTGCAATTATGCTGTTTTAATGTAAATAGAATGTCAACGTCGGACGTTTCGGTCTAGTAGACCATCTTCAGGACATATTCATAAAACATAATTAACATTGGACTATATTCAATTCAACATGAAAAGACGATGGACATAAGACTGATCAAAACAGATAACTGAAATTTTTCAAGATCGGCGTTCCGTTTCAATATGACCACGTCGGCGTCACGTGGGCGATGTTGTGAAAACGTATTCCTAAAATAGAGTATTTTGAATGAAAAATGAAAAGAATTTTATTTTAATCTAAAACTTATATGTACGTTTGTCGAGCATTAATCTTGGTAGAAAAGGGGGAATATTAAAGAAGCCAGGTCTAATATTCACCGTGCGTGAGATAGATATTATGCCTGCTTCATAAATCCGTCTAAGATTTTTATTATGAATATATTTTAAAATCTTCACAGAATCAAAATCGAAATTGTTGTGACCTGGAAGGAAATTTGTATACAACAGCAATCAAAAGAACTAATAATAATAATAAAAGGAATTCTGCCTTATTGTTAAATGAAGTTTTGTTTGTTCATTAATTTATATAGACTTAACAAAAGAGAGCATTACCATTTAGTTTTCAAGAACTCAAAAGGCAATATTCTTTGTTAAAAATATTCTGTCTTGAAATTCTTTTTTCATTCTGCTGTTATCTTTTGCTGTTTTGCAATGTTTAGTATGTTGCAAATTTAAGATTAATCTACTCGGGCGAAAGTTCAATCTCTGGGTTAGGCAGTGAATAACAGATTCTTGCTAAGGGAAAAATAAAAAAAAAATGGTACCTCAAAAACCAAATTAGTTTCAGCAGAGGAATGTGAAAAATCTAGCCAGCGAATTACTTAAAGGGTTTCATTCGAAATTACCAGAGATTTATTGATTTGTTTTTTTACAGTTTATCAACCTTTTGCATACAACTGAAATTTAAGGAAATAATAATAATATATTAAAATTTTCACGGTAACTGATTCAGAAACCAGAAGTAATTTAAAGTGAATCTCACTCAAAACTCAAGAACTCAGACAACAAACGCTAAAGATGGTTGTATTTTTTTTGGTCTTTGTCTTTGTTTTCGTTTTTCTGTTGTTTTTTGTTTTAATTTGCAACATTGTTTTTTTTGTTTTTTGTTTGTTTTTTTTTTCTGGCTGCAATTCTAATGTTATCAAATTCCAATAGATTCTTTGGAAATGATGCCAAAGGTTCCAATGACAATTGACGCGAACCATTTTCTCAACAACTAACATCTGAGTAGATATTATTATTATTATTATTATTATTATTATTATTTCCTTTGATTTCTGGCGTTTACACATTTCTTTCCGGGTCCTGCCCAGGGACCTAAGGTTAGAAATGGCAGCATGACACTTTCCACTGTCAAAAAAAAAAAAATTACATAGATACGCCCTTCGTAAAGTGTGAGCTGTACTTGTCATATTTTTTGTATCTCCTTGAGGCATGGACTTCCAGGAACCCCTTCAATTAGTCTACTGCAATCTTTTCCAACCAGTCCTAGGGCTCCAACTACAACAGGGATTGTTGATGTTCCCATATGCCACATTTTCGAGATTTCTATTATTATTATTATTGTTGTTGTTGTTATTATTATTGTTATTGTTATCATTATTATTATTATTATTGTTGTTGTTGTTATTATTATTATTATTTCCTTGCATTTCTGCTGTATACTCATTTCCTATCGGGGCCCCAAAAGTCAGAAATGACATCATGCCATTTTCTACTGAACAGATTTTTGTCAAACTCATACCTTACGCTTGAAATGACTATTGTACATGTAATGGTTTTTCGTATCATTTCGTTTTCAAGTTAGTTAAAGCCATCTTTCTGTTATTTGTTTGACGTTTTTGTCTTCTACATTTGCCATTTCACATATTATTATTATCATTATTATTATTATTATTATTATTATTAGATTTCAGCTGTATACTCATTTACTTGCGAGGCCCAACCAGAGACATAAGGATAGAAATCACACCATGAAATTTCCCATTAAACATTTGCCTTTAAAAAAAAATAAATAAAAATAAACCTAAGGAAACACACATTTTGCATAGATGAAGATCTTTATTATTATTATTATTATTATGATTATTATGATTATTATTATTATTATCTCTTTTGGTTTCTGGTGCATACTAATTTCTTTTCCGGCTCCCAACCAGAGACCTAAGGTCAGGAATGGCTCCATGACATCTTTTTCTGATCATTTTTTTTTGTTAAAACAATCTAAATTCATACACATTTTATATAGAGCTCTTCGTAATATGTGAGTTGTACTTGTGAGTACAATTTCTATGTATTTCTTTAAGGCATGGAGAACCAGGAATCCCTTCAATGAGTTTATCGGAACATTTTCCAATAAACCCGACCGTTCTAATTACATCTGGAATTAATGTCCTCGTGTACCACATTTTTGAAATTTCTACTTTAAGATCCTTGTATTTTGATAGTTTTTGGAGATCTTCAAAGATACATTACAATCTGCAGGAAATTCCATATCAAGGTACATTCTGTTTTTATGGTTCTGTTTTGGGTTTTTTTTTATCACGATGCCTGGGTTGTTAAATTGTGATTGTTTCTTTATCAGTGTCAAACCACAACAAGAATAAGTTTTTTTTCCTATTTCCATCTTCATTATATTATTATTAGTAGTAGTATTAGTATTAAATATTGGCTGTTGTTATTACAGTTATTATTATTTTATTATTATTGTTATTATTAATATATTATTATTATTATTTTATTATTATTATTATTATTTATTATTATTATTTTATGGACAAAAATGTTTTATCTACATTTCATGTTAGAACATAGACAAATGGTGTGTTTTTTTTGTCGGGGGGTTTTCAGGGATTCTTTCAATGTGTTGTTTTGTTCATTTTTATTGCACCTATTACCACTGGTTTCTTGTTTTCTTTATTTTTCTATTTCAATTTCCAGGTCTTTGTATTTTGATAGTTTTCAAATTCCTTGGTTGCTATGTTACAATCCACAATATCAAAGAATAAGTTTTTTTGGTTTTTGACAATAATGTCCGGCCTATTCATTATATTATTATTAGTGGCCGATGTAGTGTTTTAGTAAGTGTTTATTGTCCAGTGTTATTATTATCTATCGTGTTTTTTATTCATTTTGGGGCAAGTTAGAATTATTATGGTCTATTGTTTCTTTATTATGTCAACAAATTCAAATGGTGTTTCAAATGGGCGTAGAGATTATTAATTGTTATTATTATTTATTATTATTATTTTTATATTATTATTATTATTATTATTATTATTGTTGTTATTATTGCTATTATTGTTATTATTTATTATTTTTATTATTATTGTTATTATTATTATCATTTTTATTATCTTTGATTTCTGGCGTTCACACATTTCTTTCCGGGCCCAGCCCAGGGACCTAAGGTTAGAAATGGCGCCATAACACTTTCCACTGACAAAAAAAAAAATTACATAGATAAAGCCCTTCATAGAGTGTGTGCTGTACTTGTCAAAACAATTTTTTGTATCTCTTTGAGGCATGGACTTCCAGGAATCCCTTCAATTAGTCTACTGCAATCTTTTCCAACCAATCCTAGGGCTCCAACTACAACAGGGATTGTTGATGTTCCCATATGCCACATTTTTGAGATTTCTATTTCAAGGTCCTTGTATTTTGACAACTTCTTGAATATCTTCAAAAATACATTGCAATCAGCAGGAACTGCCATATCAATAAGGAGGCATCGTTTTTGTTTGTGGTCTTTAATAACAATGTCTGGACGGTTGGCCTTGATTGTTCTGTCAGTGTGTATTGTGTAGTCCCATAAAATTGTAACAGGTCCTATCTCCGTAACCGGGTCTGGGTGGTGTTCATACCAGTTTCTTTCAATTTCCTCCCCGTAGAAATTGCAGATTTTCCAGTGCAGATATTGGCCCACTCTGTTATGCCGGGTTTCATATTCAGTGGGTGCCAATATCGTGCAACCTGATACAAGATGATCAATCGTTTCTGGATATTTATCACAATATCTGCATTTTGGGCTGACACAATATTTTAGTATATGTGCTTGATAATTCCTAGTTAGCAAGCACTGGTCCTGCGCAGCAAGGATAAAACCTTCAGTTTCCGCTTTCAGCCCTGCACTACGTAGCCACTGATGGGTACAGGTTTTGTCTACGTCAGCTTGTTTGGTACGGGCAGAGTATTGGCCATGAAGCAGTTTATCTTGCCATCGCTTCTGTAACTGGTCGGTTGCATTCGTCTTTGCTGTCTTTTTTAGGTATTTTGCAGTTTCAGCCGTTGTATTGTGTTGTAGTTGCATCTCTACGCCCATTTGAAACACCATTTGAATTTGTTGGCTTCTTTCATTACGGAGTAAAGACGCTTACTACTTTCATATTCCTTGACGCATACAGTCTTCTGTAGTTTCCAAATATCTTTGGAGGCCAATTGTTGTAGTTTTGTAGGACAGTTCTAGTTGAACTAATCCTCTGCCTCCTTCGGATCTGGGCACATACAGACGATCAACATCAGCTTTGGGATGATGCATGCGATAGCAAGTGTGAAGCTTTCTCGTTTTGGCGTCCATTCGCTTAATTTCAGCTATGGTCCAGTTAAGGACATTAAAGCTGTATTGCACCAAAGGGACAGCCAATGTGTTTATGGCTGATATTCTGTTTTTTGAGTTTAGCTCAGTGTTTAGTACCAGACGTACACGCCTGTAGTACTCTTTTCTTATTTTTTCCTTCATTTGGGGGTGTTGTATGCCATCCATGTCATCCATGTAGAGTAGGTGATTGAATATTTTCTTATTTATTTTGTAACCATAGCTACTGTTGTTCAGTTCATGTGTAAGAGGGATTAAGGATAAACAAAACAGAAGGGGTGACACAGAGTCTCCTTGAAAGATTCCACGTCGGATATTCAGACGGTTGGATATGGCAGTGCCCCCGGTGTGACTAAGGTATAGTTTGGTATTCCACATTACCATGCTGTGCTTAAGGAAATTTAATACCACAGGGGAGACTTTTTACATTTCCAAAGTCTTAAGGGTCCAAGAATGTGGAACACTATCAAAGGCTTTACGATAATCTGCACTAAGAATTCTGCGTCGTCTCCTGCAATTTTCCAGGATCATTTCAATTATCATAAGTTGATCTTTGCAGCCATATGAACCTCTTCTGCATCCCTTCTGTTCCAGCGGGAGAATGCTGTTTGTTTCGAAAAAGGAATAAGTACGGTTCGTCAGTACAGACGTGATCAACTTATACGTTGTGGAGAGACATGTTATCGGTCTATAATTTTTCGGGTTGTCTGTTTCAGTTGTTTTTGGTATGAGGTGTGTAACACCTTCAGTAATCCATTCCGGGATTTTATTGGGATTATTTACAAGCGTTGATAATGTTTTTGAAAGAATTTCATGGGTAGATGAGAGATGATACAGCCAGAAATTGGGCAACTTGTAATTTCCTGGGGATTTCCATTTTTGGGATTTCGTTAGAGCTTGCCTAACATCATCTGTGGATATATTTTCCCATTCTTGCAGAGGTGTATCCAGCAGTCGTTCTTCTTCACGCCGTATCCATTCTGCATTTGGGTTATATTCCTTTGGGCTGCTCCAAATATTTTCCCAAAATGTCTGTACATTATCAATCGATGGTGGCCTTTCGACATGTATAGGTGTTTTTCCAATTTGGTATTGAGTCACTTGGTCCAAGGTTGGCAATAATCCGGGTTTGGTGACCAAGTGTCTCTTCGTGTGTGGAAGAGTTTGTTCAAGTGGCAGACTTTTCGTTCTCAGACTGGTTCC